GCTATGTTGAAAACTAAGACAGTTGTAGCTATGTTGAAAACTAAGACAGTTGTAGCTATGTTGAAAACTAAGACAGTTGTAGCTATGTTGAAAACTAAGACAGTTGTAGCTATGTTGAAAGCTAAGACAGTTGTAGCTATGTTGAAAACTAAGGCCGTGGTAGCTATGTTGAAAACTAAGGCCGTGGTAGCTATGTTGAAAACTAAGACAGTTGTAGCTATGTTGAAAACTAAGGCCGTGGTAGCTATGTTGAAAACTAAGGCCGTGGTAGCTATGTTGAAAACTAAGACAGTTGTAGCTATGTTGAAAACTAAGACAGTTGTTGCTATGTTGAAAGCTAAGACAGTTGTAGCTATGTTGAAAACTAAGACAGTTGTAGCTATGTTGAAAACTAAGACAGTTGTAGCTATGTTGAAAACTAAGACAGTTGTAGCTATGTTGAAAACTAAGACAGTTGTAGCTATGTTGAAAACTAAGACAGTTGTGGCTATGTTGAAAGCTAAGACAGTTGTAGCTATGTTGAAAACTAAGGCCGTGGTAGCTATGTTTAAAACTAAGACAGAGTGGCGAATTGGGTGATGTAGGTAATATAACGAATACCTTACAGAACAAAGTAAAATACAAATCCTGTATTTTCTAGAGTCGTTAAGGCTGGCTATAAGGTGATTCGATATCCAAAAGATATTGGACGATACGATACCATTGAACACAAGCCGGATGACGGGAACAGTCCCAACAAAGGCAGGTAAGACTAGCTAGCGTTTGGTTTTACTGTTACATGTTTTGTGTTATTTATTTGCCCAGTTTTCTGCTTGTATAATTTATTAAGGTAACCCATATTTGTTTGCAAAATTATTCACCGTTCATCAAAATGTAATCATTGAGCCAGGTAACATGTGTTCGAGGCACTGAGCATACAGATTGTCTGGCAGGCACAGTGGTTGGTTACTATGACCGGTCCAAAACTGGGCGGGATAGTTCATCAGCGCCGTGCGTGATACATGTCTCAAAGAGGAGTAGAGATAGATGACAGTACTCCTGGTCAAGCTGGTGGACACTGAATGCAACTTCGAGCTGTATATAGGAACCTTTCCGGAAAGGCAAATAGGTCCTTTTTCCACGCCTTTAGGCGTATTAGGAATATAGGGCTAGGCCTATATTATTATAGACCAATGGGCACTTGTTTGCGATGTGGTCAGCATCACACCGGCCGCCTTTACTTTCCAGGACTGGACCTGGTACCCACTTAACACTGGGTCTACCTGGGAGTCACGGTCATTTTTTTTTAAAGGCTGGCTTCCTCAGGACGCAAACCCACGACCTTCATATCCGGAAGCGGGCGTCTAGCTGCTAACGCCACGACGACTGCCACACAGGCACATGATGTTTAAATAGTTAACACAGAACGAGCATGGCCAGTTTACCTCCCTATAGCTGGTGGGAGAGTGGAGCACATATAATCAGTCTGGAGTGATTTGATGGTTGTCAATCTCTTATCGCCAATCTTTCACAAGCGATAAACACCTGATGACACAAGTGCCACCATGCGGATGAGGATCACTGTGGAGAGGTCTCAGAAACCGCGTTTTGCCTTTAGGCCATATTTATGGCCAGGCTATATTGCGGCCCCTGGCAAAAGCCACAGTGGGGCTTCAAATAACGAAAAATTTCATCCTAAAAAGGACTGGAAGTATGAATAATTTTAAATGGCAGCTTGTTAGTCGTCTGCTTGTAAGGGGGCGATGCAAAGTTGCCAGATCCTAGAATAAGGTTACCTCTTGGGATTCCATGCTTTGCTTCATCGATGGCACTTTTGTCTAGGCCGTAATAAAATCAGTTTCATTACTTAATTGCCGGACCTCGTATAACCTAACGTTGAACGCGGTTTCTGGGACTTGTGCATGGGTGATCCTCATCCGTATGGTGGCACTTTGGGTCACCAGGTATTGGTCGCTCGTTGTATGGTCCTGGTAGGGTTGAACGACACACACAAAGTATAGCTCTGAGACAGAAGAGGCCACTGGGACAGAATAGGTAAAGAAATGTTTACCATAGAAAGAGTAACCAATAAACATCTATTAGTTCTCTCGATTTCCATGTAAAATTGATGGTGCGATGTGTGCGTCTGAGATACAATCGAGGCTATGCTGCACATTAGGCATTCCCACGCCTGATAGATTTTCAGATTCAGTGATCATCACAAGTTACTTCTACTGGTTGTTCTCATATCGTTAGCGAGTTTAGTGTAAAGGACCTTTTTGGGACGTTGGTTGAAGTTAGAGTGGTTCACCCCCCCCCCTTTTTCCCTTTGGGGTAAGGGGGGGGAGGGCTGAACGAACAGCCCATATCTAAAGATAAGTGGGATCAAACCTTTGCGGGGAAATCAACCTTTTTATTACTCATTGATCAACATTCACTTCGACTGCAATACTGCGGTTCCCTGAAAAATATATGTAACTAAAAACAAAGCTCTAGCTTAATTTTGTTAACGCCTTACCAAGACATAACAACTCTGGTTAAGATCGTTAGTCAAGCGGGCAAATTGTCTCTGTCCTTTGAAACACACGACAGGTGTATTAAATTAGAAATAAATGACTGTAAAAATTAATTATATTACTTTCCCGTATTGGTTCCGTGGTCCTATTAAAGGGAAAACAAGAATAGACCAACTGCCCACCCAAAAGCCTGTCGTACGAGTCGACTAATTGGGAGCTTCCTTCAAAGTCGGAGTGCATCTGCCTGAGAGGCAAGGAACCAGCAGTCTGCATACAAATGAGTCAGATCTGTAAAACGGATGCACACGCAACACTCAGGTTCTGGAACAGGACTGAAGTCCAGAACTGGATGAACAACCAGAACTTTCTGCCAGAGTTTACAGTTGGAGAACGCGAAGAAGAAAAAGAATTATATTAATAACATTTTTGCTTTCAATAAGCGAAACAGAAATATTTGAGGATTTGTATAAATGAACAAATAAAGGCACATCCTGAAAACAGCTGTGTATTTCAAAGCAACAATTAATATACAACCTGGGAAACATGTTATTATACATACTGATGATGATGTAATAATTATTCTCCATCCACACATCAGGACCAAATTGCTGCAATCTTTGAGGGACAGGCTGGACTCTCAGGGGTTGAACACTACAGTCTACCAGGTGACAGCTGTCCTCTTCAAGCCTTTATACACCTGGATCCATGTACAAGTGAACATGACCCAGATACTACAGGTCAGTCATCATCCTCTTTATCATCATGTGCCACATGGATACACGTAGGTGGTCATGATTCCCCATCTTACACAATCACCAAATTCACAGATCAAGTTAGTGTTCTTGTCTGATCACATCCATGGGGCCAATCCAACAAAGTATTTATCTCTGCCTACCAGTATGCTCTTTTTTCCATCAGCCTTATCACAAACTCCCTGAGTCTATTTTGTCTCACAACATGAAGTTGTTACATGCTTGTAAAAGATGTTAAATCAGGTATGTCTCCTTTGAAGTTAGAATACATTTGCCTGAGAAGAAATGAACCAACAGTCTGCACACAAATAAGCCAGACTTGTAAAATGGATTGGCATGCAAAACTCAAGTTCTGGAACAAGACCAAAGTCTACAAGTGGACAAAAAACAAGAACTTTCCAACAAAGTTTACAGCTGGTGAATGAAAAAGGAAGAAGAACTACCAGGAATTCAACAGTAGTCAATAGCAAAAGGGTAAATTGATGTCAGTGGTCTAGGGGCATATGATGCTAGACCAATTGCTTTTATAGACCTACCAGCATACAATTGGTGATGTGGTTAATATTGCTGCCTTTACTTTCCAGAATATGCCATGGTATCTAGACTAGAGTTGATCTGGCAGCCTAGGACAATGACGAGAATATTATGAGCTGATAGAAAAATAGATGCAGCAAACAAGGTAGCTGGAATCAGGTGGCGTAGGTACCTTTGAGGCCACCCCTACCCCACGCTGGGGAAACAAAAACTGTTTAGGGGAGCCTCTTAATGCCCCCTCAACCCACTAATAACTTTGTGAGAAAACTGTCTCTCCACACCTATCCCCCCCCCTTTTTTATTTTCTACATGTAGTTTTTTTCATACTCAAATTATTTTTAAAATATTTATAATTGCCACTCAACAAACACCTTACTACTACTGATTACTTTAGACCAGGCTAGTCCTGCTGAGCACCCCCCCCACCCCCTCAATTACAAACCATGCTGTGCATGAGACTGAACAGGTTAGTGTGTTCTCTTGCTTTCATATCAAGCAGTTGACTGTTCTGCACTCGGACTTCTTTAATATTTACTGATCGCAATATATTCAGTTCCAATTTCACAGCAAAATGGTCACCCCCATAATTGCTGCTCCAGCGAATGTAAAAAAAAAAAAAATGCCAACCATTGTCCCTTGAGAAAAAAATGTAATCAAGACTAATAGTCTTAAGTGAGGCCAATCGCAAACACACACATTAAATCAGTGCTCTCCAGCCTTCTTCAGGTAGCACCCCGTCGAGTATAATCTTCCAACATATCAAAATATGATTTTAAAAAAGGGCAGAAGGAAAAAATTCCAAGTACTGTAACAAAAACTCAGAAGAAAACATGCCCATAATTCAAAGTGTCAAATAACAATAGATAGAAATAATCACAATTGGTAGTCCAAATATCAATGTGACAGCTGACACTGTTTTGTCTTGATGATATCTGCTATTTTTGGTCTGATGTTGCACAAGGCACAATGGAGAGCACTCTCCACATCAAGCTGGCAGCTCTGTTTTGTTTTAATGGCTGCTAAAGCTAAAAATCCAGATTATTAAAAGTACAGTTGCATTTTAATTTCCAAACTGCAACCCTCCCCCCTCTCTCCGGCTGTGCCCCCTAGGTTGGAGACCACTACATAAGTACCATCACAAGTCTGTCAATACACTACCGTTCACTATCAATAAAAGCAGCAGTTACAGCAAATGTACTCAGGTTAAATATTACCATTTTCCCCAAACAGTCTGATTTTCACAAAACAGAGATGACTTCCAGAAAACTGAAATGTCTGAACTTGCAAACCAGAAGATATATGTCCAAAACAGAACCCACAAACATTAGAGTATGGGGCAAATGACTTAACCACAAGACTCCCAATTCCAATGATGTGTCAATATTTGTTTGTTCAAATCATCCATTTATGCTCTTTTTTTTTTTTAATTTCAGATGTCACTAGGACACAGGCTACATGATACTGGGAAACACAATGCAGCTGACTGAACAGAATTGTTTATTGTAGCCTTGTAGACTTGCTACATGAGGCAGAGAAAGAAAGTAGGAGTGTAGGAAGATAGAGGAGCAAAAGGAAGGATAGAGGAGAAGGAAAAAGAAGAAGAAAAAAAAACTGTAAGCATAAAAAAGGAACATGTGATGAGAAGAAAGGCTCTTTAGAGAACACTATGACAACTAGTGTTGTCTGAGGCAGAAGATTCAGGATTAATGTTTCTGGGGGGATATAAATGCTAATGCCATCTGAAAAACACACGATATATACTTGTGATATGACAGACAAACATGGCAGCAAAAATAACTACATCTCAACTTTATTTACAGACAGTTTTATAACATTAAAATAAAGCACACAGACAAACATTTCAAATATTTACAAAACATTCACAACAGCTATCTCTCAAATCATCTCACATACTTACAGTTACAATGCAGGGACAGAGCTGCAGCAGCTGACATGCCTGTCTGTGGGGCTAGAAAGCATGTATTTAAATCTCTCTCAGAGTAGACATTTTCTAAATATTGTGTGAGGCTCATCTGTTTACCCAGCCACAGTAAACAATGTGGGAAGTCAAAATGTCCATCTTGATACTGAACATTTCAAACATCAACCCAATCTCTTTCAGCATTCCGAGCCGCTGAGGTTCATTCCTGGAGGTATCACCTGCCTCCATTCATCTCTTGACTGTCCTTCTCTTTCCAGTTGGTGACCCCATGCACTTGTAGGTCTGCCTGTGCATATTGTCGGCATCTGTAGCTTAGGTGTTACGAACGCGCTTTGTAATGCTGGGGTTCGATCCCAGCTGCAGGCCTTGCGCTGGTTTCGACAGTGGTATCAAAAAGCCGATAGTCCAGAAAGCAATGGCAAACTAGTGGATGTAATTTTGCCTTTAAAAATCACAACAGCCAAAAAATTTTGGAGTTGGTTCTGCAATGTCCTGTATAGGATACGCAACTAACTTATACCTAGGATGAAGGCGTAACTGTTCATTACATGAATAATTTCATGACATGTTTCATTATATAACCATATCTTCATTCTTATAGCATTACTTTTCACTGTATACTATAATAATGTTTCAATATTGTAGCCATAACTGTTCATTATTTAACCATACATCTACACCAATGGCATCACTGTCATTGCATCACCACGCTGACATACGGGAGACATAAGTGTTTATTTAAAAAACAAATACTAACATAATTTTTCAGTGTATAATCACAGTATACTATTTTCAGTACTTTTCACATCATCCCATAATAAAGATAATACACTTTTTAATTAGATATAAAACATGTTCACATAGCGAAATCTTTACTTTTTTTTTGTCTCACATAACCAAGCTCCAATACTGCAGGTACGACATAACACAGAACAGCATCTCCAAAATTTGTTTTGTGCGCTTTTTTGGGTGGCCTGAGTGATTTGTTCACTATTTTTTTGTTTGTGCAAATTTAGGCAACACCATTTATTCATTTCTTTCTTGGTCTTTCCCATGGCTTCCTCACTGATGTCTTGCTGTATAAAAAAAAATCTCTTGCAGTTTGGTCTGACTGCATTCTCACTAGATAGTCAAACCATTTCATTCTTGGACAATATAATTCAGACACAATTTTGTTCAAACTTTCTCTCTAATGCTGGTATTTGTAAACCATGTCTCTTCTTGTACTGTTACTGACCACACAGAAACAGCACATTTCAAAGGTAGTTACTTTTTTGTTCCAGTGTTATTCGTTACCCACATTTCTAAAACATATTTATCTGCCAGCACCACTACATTTCTGTTCTAAAATCAAGAGATTTTTCCAGAATCAGCTATGTTCTTTCTGTTTCTGGATTTTATCTAGCAATACTTCCATCTGAAATCTCATCACCGGCTGCCCTTTGCTTGTTCTCTTACACAGTTTCAAGTGCTGCTGCTTCTTCCGATCTTTGTAGGAGGCCAAGGCTGACTCTTTTTCTTTATTTGTGCGTTCAATTTCCTGAGAAAAGCATCAGACTGTAATTACAGATCAAAAAACCAAGAACACTGGCACTACAGCAGCAACCTAGGCAAAGACTACACAAACAACCTCAAATAATTTCTAGAACAGTTAGAGAAAGGTATCTGGACAGATCTCGTGACACCACGGGCCAGACTGGCCATACACTGCCACAAACCAGAAAGACTATAACCTAGAATGACTAGAGAGAGAGGAGAAAGAGAGACAGAGATAGCAGCAATACATTGTGAAAGAATATTACAATATACAGCTTAAAAAAACAGACCTAATAATTTTAATCAAGAATTCAGCTACTGGTGCTACCGAAGAGTAGCTACTATGGATTTTCCAACACTTACTGTCTCCCATCCGTGCTGTGCATTCTCTGAGTCAAGTGTTCAAACTCTTGATCTTTAACCCCATTGGTAGCACTGTCTTGATGGCTTGCAAAAGCCTTCCCCCTTTCCAACATACTTCTTAGAAATGCCTCACAGTGAGGTTTTTTCTTTTCAACAACCTTTCATTCTTTTTAATTCCTAGTCACCTCAGATATATATGACTTCTCTATATTTGTAACTAACTTATTTTGACTGTTTCTTTGTTCACTGTCGAAGTCAGTCGTGGATTCCAGATTTTTTTTTTTATGACCTTGACTCCCAGGTCAACCCAGCCTTGAGTGGATACCAGGTGCAGTCTTGGGAAGTAAAGATGGCCGGCGTGATGCTGAAAGGTGAAAATGTACACTAACTTTTTATACAACATCCAATTTCCAAATAGTTACCTGTTGCTTCTTTTCCCTTTCCTCTTTCTTTCTTCTTGCAATCTTCTCCGCTACACTGAATGTATGATTCTGCTTCTCCTTTGTATTTCTACAGAATGTTTAATATAATAGAAAAGATTTGTTGAAACAATTTAACTGTAATAAACAGAAAGAAAACATTATTAAGAGCTTCAGGCACTTATATAAATGAACACCATCGATGCCAGCTTTTCAAGAAAGCTTCACAAGAAAATAGAGAGATCTTGGACATTTATAGTTTTTTTTCATGTCATCTGCAACTGAATCATCATGAAGCTGTTATGAGACAAGTTCAGTACTGGTCGGGTTTTGCATGGGTCTTCTACTGGATGGTGTATGAAGTCTCAGTCACCTCTAACAATGTGCAAGATTGGTTGGCAATTAGTTACTGTCATGCTGACAAAGTGCTTTCTTCTACTGAAGCCAGACTAGTGTAGTGACTTACTTTAAAAAAAAAGAGATCCCATCTCCACAGAGACCTGTAGAGACCCCTCTCTCTCTCTCCAGACCCCAAAAAAAAACTAGCAGTATGAACAAGAAAGATAGTTAAACTTTATGTTATTGGAGAGGTATGTTAGGATTTATCCATTTCACACTTCAGAACAACACAGGGACTGGCTCAGATCTGACTAATGGTAATAACACTTTTGGTAAATTCACTGTCAAGATACTCCAACCAATTAGTCCAACCAATGTGCTTATTTTAAAATCAGGAATGTCAGGGTAAGTATGAATTACAAGTAGTAAGAAAAAAAATGTTGCAGTAAAAAAAACAAATAATCCAAAAACTATGGGTTTTTTAAAAGCCCCCCCCCCCCCCCTCTTAATTCTCTAGTTCCTTTCTTCGTGCCTTTTTGGTCTGCCCTTAGTCCTATGACCCTGTGTGAAAAGCATTCATATATAGTGTGCTGCATGTAAAATTATCTATTTAGATTTCTTTAGTATCTCACACCAGAAGTAAAAGATATACTACGCCGAGCTGGATACATATAGGCAACAGAAATCAAATAAACTTTAACCTTGAAAATCATATAGAGAGAGCTGCCTGTTAAAGAATAAAGAGTTAAACAAGAACAAAAAGTTTGAAACTAAATCAAGCACAAAGCTATCAGGGAATATATGGTACCTCTCCTGTTATAGAATGGGCGTTATGAAACCTGTTATGTGTTAACCACAACATAACATACTATACAGAATGCATGCATTGCAAAACATTAACACATTACCTGTGTTGTAAGAAAGATAGCTTCTGGTGTTTGGGTGCTTCCTTCCCTTCCACCCTTTCAGCTGTCTGCTTTTCTTTCTTCAGCAGTTTTAGATATTCATAAGCTGCTTTCCGCTTTCTTTTATCAGCGAAACCCTGGCCTAAAAATACAATCAAAACTTTTCAGTTGATTAACTGGAAAAAGAAGAAAGGCACTTTCCATTTCTCTCTTCTGCTCTTAAAGAGCATGCCCAAAACCAATTCACACCATCTCCTGCATCTCTCTCCATTCCTCTGGCCATGTCAAAGGACCCTCTTGTTAATTAAAATATCAACACATGTTTTTCACTGTATCTATTTTTATAACTTCAGTATTTCTATTCTGTCTTTTTATTTATCCTCATATTCATAAGCTTTGCATCTGTGATTCTGCCAGACTATTTCAACTTGCCTAACCTCCACAAGCATATAATAAATGTTAGTAATGTATCAGTATAGGAGTGTTACAGTGTGACATGAACACAGACTAACCCTAAACCTGACACCTCTATAATTCTGCTTTTCCGGGAACTCCTGGAGTTCCAAAGATGGGGTGAACTAACATGAAAGAACCGCCTACTTAAACGAGATAACAATAATTTGTTATAGTCCATACTGTGTGGTGTAGGTCACCATGTTTTTTTTTAACAGCCTAAACACAATATGGAGCTCCAAGTTACCCGCTTTAAGACCAAACCTCTAATCTTCAATTCTAATGTTATTTCAAAATAACATATGCCAGCAAAGGTTGGAGAAGCACCAAAGATATGAAACAGAAGTTGAATGCATTTGAAATAACTGAGAAAGACAAAACACAAAATGAGAGGAATTCAAAAAGAGTGAGATCAGAGAAATGCCTGAACAAATACCTGTATCAACTGCAATAAGAAAAAGAAGGTGGAGATATATTGGGCACCCTCTGAGATGAAATGAGTAAAGAATTACAAAACAGGCACCAAAATGGAAAACAAATGGTTTGAGAAAAAGAGGACGCCCTAGGGAAATATTAAGAAGAACATTATTACAAGAGACAAAAGATGCTGGGCTGAACTCCATGTCAGACATCAACTGAGTTGCATGCAATAGAGCAGACTGGAGGAATTGAATGCAAGACCCCCATGTGATGTCTAACGGCATATGAAGGATGATGATGAATGTATAAGTAACTGCTTCAAATTTCCTACATGTCTTTGCAGCAGTACTGATGTGATGTTCTAAATATGCTAGTTTGGTATACTAAATTTATCTTCTACAAATTTCTAAGTGTTATGGAAGTCATCTTGCCTCCTGCATTCATGGCATCCTGATCCACTAGTACCTTGTGCCATTAGGATAAAGTAAAATGTGTGGAAAAGATCATGTTTGTGTGCTTTGTAAATTTTGATTACCAGAAACTGTTATTGCCTCTGTCTATATTTGCATGGTCAGCTCTTCTTTGCTTCCTGCCTGGTCTGTATGTACATAACTTGTTTTCTAATGAAATCCACAGCTGCCACTATCCCCATTTTCTTTTGCATTTCATCATTTCTGATTTTATTTTAAGAGCCCTTCGCAGGAAAATAATTTCAGCTGTTATAGTTTGTCTTTTCTGTCATTATCCAGGTCTGGCATTGATAACATGTAGTTAACAGGAAGATTTATGTCACAGAGTGCACTTTTGGTATCTACTGACACGTGCTTGTTGCTGAGTGTTCATGTCATTTGCCCAATGAGATGATGTGCTCTGTTACAACTCTTATCGATCTCATTTTCTGATATTATGCTTCCTTAGATAATAACAAATTACAGACTTAAAAAGATGTAAATTTAGAAATTAAAAAAAAACGAAGATGGGGGTGGACTGTATACGTCCTTAGAACAAAGAAAGAGAGATGGCTGAGATAGGCAATGCGATGGGCACCACAAAGACAGTGATGAAGAGGGAGGCCCAGAGGCACTTGGAGGCGAACTTTTAAGGCTGACATCAAGGACTGACTGATTTTTTTTCACTGTTTTTTTTAATGTGCAATGCTTGTTCTTGTACGATAGTGGAAATGAATGCAAAAGTAAGAGAACTGGCTACCCACATCTGATATTATTTAATTATTTTCAATTCAAACTCTGAAACGTAATTCTGGCAGGACAGGAGGGGAGGACAGCTGAAGTCATTTTGAGAATCATCACAATCAGAAATGAATAACTTTAACACTAACAGTACACTCATGAGACTGAAGGCTGTGGACTGACATGGTGACACAAAGTATCAGGCTGGAAAAAAAAACTAATATCATATAAGAGTTATAAAGTTATGATTATCATTTAATGGTAATTTGCGGCTATTTTCACTATTTTGAATAATAATTAGTTGACAATACATAACTTGGCTATCCTCCGAAAAACGGTCCCAAATTATCGAGGCCGAAAATACACCCAAACAGGGCCTCAGTCACATGATGTAAATTGTGGACCTCTTTCCGGCAACTACACAACATACTGTGGAAAAGGTTCCGAAGAGTTAAAGTCACTGCTGAGAGTATCTCCTGAGGTTGCTACGTGTGGCTCTAAACTAGATGGCTTGGACTCACGAGCAGAAGCTACCGCATCTCCTGCAGCTTCCTTCATTTTATTTGCTCGTGCGTCCCAGCTATCTAGTTTAGCAGTTTAGCCCACTCCGCGCCGCGGCTAGCGGTGTGGGAGATACTCTCGCGGTGACTCGCCGGAAAGAAGTCATTCCTAGTTTTGCCGCGATCTGTTTGTCAGAGGAAGTACGCAACTTACATGTGACTGAGGCCCTGTCAGGGTGTTTTTTGGCCGCCATAATTACATAATATGTGGCCGTTATTCGGAGGATAGCCTAAAATTAATTGATATGAGGTAACTTTAAACGTGGGAAAGAGACTTTTAATAATAAATAGTTAAATACGTATCCAGCTATGCCGGTTTTATTTGTTTAAATGTTTCTGAATTCCCTAACTAATACTAGTACTGGTTACTACTACTGAGTTTAGTTTAGGTGGGGGAGCCACGAATCATCTGTTCAGTTCATTCAGCTGGCTTTTGGCTTTTAAAAGTACTTTTACTTTACTTCATCATTGAATCATAACAAAATAGTAACACGTATCGACTATTCAGCAGCGGTGATAAGAACACAATACCTTCTTTCTTGTTGCCCACAAACGATTTAACAATCGTAGGATCTTTCTTATGTTTACTCATTTCTAAATGTCCAAAACAAGATCAGCGTGCAACTTTGTTCATCTACAATGTTCCGATAAAATGTAATGTTCCGGTACAACTTTTTAGCAGCGTCCGCTGCATCATTGATTTTCTTCGATTTTTTGCTTTTGACTTGTTTATGTCTAGATTTTGGACAATATCAGATGGAGTACTATTAGTAAAACTTTGCGGCAGACCGTTTGACATCAACTTAGTACAGAATTATGCCCCAACAGCAGATAGTTCAGAGGAAGATATTGACGCATTTTATGATGAGTTAGACATGGCTGTTGATCAATGCAAAAATTGTGAAGTAACAATGGTACTTGGAGATTTCAACGCGAAAATAGGAAGTGATGAGTTAGACATGGCTGTTGATCAATGCAACAATTGTGAAGTAACAATGATACTTGGAGATTTCAACGCGAAAATAAGAAGTGAAAAAGTGTACGGAATAACGGGTGGCTATGGCCTAGGAGAAAAGAATGTGAGAGGTGACAGATTAATAGCATGGGCTGAGTCACGCAGCATGATAATAGGTAACACCTGGTTTAAACACCATCCTCGAAGATTGCGGACTTGGAAAAGTCCTGGTGATAATGTCCGCAATCAGATTGATTATATTTTGATTTCAAGAAGATTCAGGAGCAGCTTAGTTAGAGCAAAAACTAGACCAGGGGCAGACTGCTTTAATGACCATGTGCCAGTTGTAGGAAAAATTAGAAAAAAAAACTAAAGAACATTAGAAAAACACCACAGAACATCAAGGAATTTAGGAATTCTTAGAACGGATAAAGAAATTCAGGACCAGTACAATGTCACTGTACAAAACCGGTATAATGCAATGGAAATTATACAGACTATTGATGAACAGTGGGATCTGTTGCGTGAGTCAATTCAGCAGGCATCAAAAGAGACAATCCCACCAACTCATAGAGTTGCAAAAAAGAAATGGATGTCAACTGAAGTTCTGCAGTTGATGGATGAAAGAAGGAAGAAAAAGAATGGCAAAAAAGAATACTCTAGAATACAAAAAGAAATAGTGAACAAATGCAAAGTGGCTAAAGAAGCCTGGCTGAATCAAATGTGTACAGAGATTGGGGAAAACAACAGGAAAGACTCACATTCCATGTACCAAAAGATAAATATGTTAACAGGAAAGATAACACGTAACAGCACTGGATGTCTGAAATCAAAAGATGGTGATTTATTAACGGGACATAGTAATATAATTAACAGATGGACAGAGTATATAGGGAAATTGTATAATGATAATAGACCAGATGTAGAACTGCAGACCAACAATGATGGTCCACCAATAATGACTGCAGAAGTTGAGGATGCAATACATCATATGAAGAAAGGAAAAGCACCAGGGCCAGACAACATCTCACTGGAAGAAATCGAAGCACTGGGAGATTTTTTAGTTGAAATAATAACTAAACTTTTAAATGATATTTATAATAGTGGGTATATTCCAAATGACCTTTTAAAATCCATATGTATGCTGTTTTAACTGTTTCACCAGCCATCTATTCTATTCGCATACATTCATGCTATTTGTGTTTTTGACAAATGTGATCATGCACGAGATCACAAGTACATCATAGCAGACTTTCAACATTCAATACCATACCACAGGACCATGTTTCAGAACTACTTTTGAAAGTTTCACTTGCAAGGGAGACAAGTCAGCATGGCAAACCCTGCCAGAGTTATCTCCACATGTGTCCTTGCAACAACAGAATCCAGTTGACACAACATTTCAAAATACAGTTGTAAAAATTGTGAACTCAGACATTTACCAAGCCAGCAGAAATAATTCTTACAAAACTGTGGATCAGGAGGAGGATACATACAAGACCTGCATATTAAAGATTCTACAAGATCTGACTATTGAAGATTACTTCCCATGTGGGTTCTGCAGCCCCATTTTGGGGAAGAAAAAATATACATGCCTTAACAAGATGTCAGAATAAAACACAACTAATTAAAGTTTTGCTGAAAAAGGATTTGTTGGCTGAAAGATGCAGATATCACAGTCTGGATGTAAAACACAGTACACCATGCCAACCACCTTTTTAAAGGTGGCCGCAGAAAAAGAAGAAAGATGACCGGTTCATAAACGTCACCCTGTCTAGAAGACTGAAATACTGTAGTCCAGTTAAATGAAAAGTAGTGGCTTAGAAAGTCTAGTTATGGAAAAACAGGCTGTGGTCAGTTGTAGAAACATGGCATAGCATATTGGCGAATAACATGGATATGGCGATACATAAGGCCTGGCAAGGGAGAAAGTAGCTTTCTAGCAAGCTCTGGTGAAAGCGCTGTTTTGCACAGGACCTACTACATACAGTTGTGTCTCTTCGTATGAGAGACTTCAAATTAAAACCTTTAATTTGATAGAAAACCATGCCAATGTCTTGTAACTTATCAGCATTGTTAAAAAGGATGTCATGAGTGTTAGGCATACGATATCATTGTGGGGGCACAGACTGAGATGGCATAATGATAGTTTAAAGATGGCTACCCCAATTTTGATATGCACCAAAAAGGAGCAGCGTTCTGTTAATCATTTTTCTACCAGTGAATCTGTGAAACCTATAGAAATGCATCGATGAATGAAGGTCCATCATGGTGATGCATGCCTGTCAGTCCAGCAAGTGTATGAGTGGAGTAGTAAGTATGAACACTGCATGAATTCTGTGACAGACTGTTCGCGATCAGGTCTTGCATGCTGATTAGGGACCTCGGAGTTGATTGCAGCCTTTATGAAACTTCTTACTTCAACTTCTATTACACTTTTAACGTTTTCATTTGAATCAACCTTGTATTTCACATTTATATGTAAAATTTCATTGAAGGGCTGCAATAAATCTCCGCCAACTCCTGTATCTGTATGGTGACCACCATTAACACACTTCAAGTTTTTGTATCAAAGTTATCCGCCAAAATGTAGTGGCTGCCTTCCTTTCTCTTGTTCCCCCCCCCCCCCTCCTTTTTCCACCTTACCTGACTCTCTTTATGCAGCTTGATCTCATTTAGAACATTTTCTTGAATCTCAGTTTTTGTAGTGCCTCTACATTTCTTACCCTCTTTCATTATACATTTGCTTTTTGTTTAGGTCACTACATTTCAAAGGCTTCGCTTGAGTATTACTGTTACATTGTGTGATGAGTTCGTGGCACTCTGGGATATGTTCACAAGTACTCAGATTTCCACCTTCCCAGACATATACATCATCATCCTGTGGTTAACAGTGGCAGTGCATCACCGTCTTGTGGTTAAGGGGTCACTACACGGCATTTTTTCCAATTTATGACAAAAATATCACTTTTTCAATGTGTTCGTTTTTGTAAAGTTTGGCATTCGTAGAATAGATGACACACAAAATTTATGTCAATTGTAAACAATTTAGCATTGAAAAGTTAATACTAAGGACACCACCTCGCTCACTTTTTTAAGATAAAAAAAAAGTTTAAAAGTCAGTTTTCTCAAATCTCTATATTTCAGTTTGCTGTGTGTGTGAAATCCTAAAATCTAAGCTAATATAAAGAGTAGAAACATGAAATGTTGCATACATACTTCGTAAACAATATTATAGAGACTTGTCTGCCTAAAAGTAGATTTTAGAAAGTTTTTGTTTTTAAAATTTGATTATTGTCTTATGATGCAAGATTTTTTTTGACTTTTTCAATAAACCTACAATTTAAAATTCTACGAAAAATATTTAAAAACACGTTTAAAGTAAATAAACTAGACCTGTACCTCTAAATAAAATGACAGGTCATGAATCCATCATCTATTGTTGAATACCTATGTTTGTTTTTAAAATTTTAGGATTCTAAGTACACGTTGGTTTTTTCACAAGATGGCGGCTATTGCCATGACAACTATGATTTTTTTAACACTTAAAGTATAGAAATGTAATAACATGTATCCCTACAAATGACCATTATAAAATAACTGCTCTAACTCTGTAAATAAAAAAAATAAAAATGTTTGGTGTAGTGACGCAGCCCTATGCTGGTTGACAGTACTTCTTGTATGTCCATCTGGGGTGATTTTTATTTCCAGTTTTTGTATTTTTAGCAGTGGTGTCAATGCATTACACCCCCACCCCACCCCACCCCAGCCCCCCCCCCCCCACACCTTTTTTTTAAAAACCAATCATTCTCTCTCTAATCGTATTTATAATGTCAGCACGATCCAGCCACTGATCATCTGCAACTACGGCAGAGCCAGACTGTTTATCAGGTCTTTAGTTGTTTACAAAACCTGCATCGCCTGGGACAAAGATTGAAATAGCTCCACACACAATGGACCATAGTGTAACATTGTTTATTCATTGTTCCTGTCCGCTTCATACTAGTGAAGAGTAAATTTAACACTTCATTTTATTTGTAAGTAGCGATTTTGATGTGAACAAAAAGCATTTTTTATATTAAATATTGGAGCTCTCGATGGTCAGTTTTTGTTGTCTGTCTTATTTTATATGGGTTATTATTGTAAAGATTCTGTACTGAATATACTGATTCTTGAATATCCTAGTGTTTCAGCTAGTTTTGAGAACAAAAACACAAAAAAAACTCTGTATGTCTTATGTTTTTCCGTTAATGAATGCTGGTCTTTTCTCTGTTTTTGAATATATTACTTCTGTCTGTCTGTCTGTTTGTCTGTCTGTCTGTCTCTTCCTTTCTCTCTCTCTTCCTTTTTCTCTTTCTTCCTTTCTCTATCTCTATGTGTATATACTATCATAGTTGGAAGGAAAGCCAACTTGAAAGCTTAGTTGAAGCTGGAGAACTTGCTGATATGGCATAATTGGGACTGACATGCAGACCTGGTCCAAGACTGTTGACCATGTGGGATGACCGTGGCGCCTACGACATGGCACATGATATGATACACACTAAACAGCCAGGGATTGATGCACATCGGTTTCACCTACCATGCCTGTCTGTATCTCTCCACACCAGTAGCACATCTGACATTTAATGCTAGAC